AAGAAACCAATGAAGGATGGCAGACTGGCTGGCTATGGCCATTGAGAGAGCAGACCATTCTGTGTTAATGAGGCAGAAACCAGCCATACTGCAAAGCCGGGAGAGATGCATTGTTTTCTGTGTTCTTGTAAAGGGACCTCAGGGAAAGACAATATCCTACAGCAAAGTGCATGAAAGGAATCAGTATCCTCTTAGTATAGTGACTTCTCTATCCATTCAAAGTTTCCCAGACCAGAAGGGGCATGAAAAACTTTTCAAAGAGTTAGAAGAGTAACCAAAAATAAGAAAAAGGAAGTATATATGAGACCACTGCCCAAACGTCAAAGCTGCACAATTCACCCAGAGTGTGGAGATGAAAGGGGTCGGCTTGGATCTGAGAGCCATCATGAAAGACATGGGTGGACCAGAAGCAAAGGAAACATCCAGTCCCATCCAGAGGCACCATGGGGAGGGGAGGGAGAAGAGGTTGAGGATGCTCTTTCTTCTCCCATGACGATGCTTCCCCAGTGTTTCTTCTTGTTGTTCCACATTCTGTGTTCTATGTTTATATAGGTGAGAGACATCAAAGAGCCTGAGCGTTAAAACAAGGCCACAAGAGACCAGGAGAAAACAGCCTGGGGGTGACCTGTGCTTGCTGCAGCCCATTCCCCAAACAATGGCACCAGCGACCTCTGTCATAACGATTGCATGCCATTTGGCGATGTATTTTATCACCCGGTAGCGGGGATGCTGCCCATTCTACCTCTATGAAGTGTTGCAGGGTAGAGTTATTTTACAGAAAGAATGTTGTCAGAGTGCTGTTAATCTCCACGGAAGTACAGACAGGAGAACAAATAAACCCAGGCTTGGAAAGTGGGGATTGGGTATGTTCTCACCCTCTTTCTCCAAGCCTTTACAAGTGAGACCACTGCAGCTTGGGAGAGTTAACTGATTTCTGTAAGGTAACATAGCCAAGGTCAGAGGTGGAACTAGGACTAGAATCTATACAGATTTAGAGGAACAAAACTTTTCATTGTTAGGAGGTCAGGAGTGCGACTGAATGGATGAGAATCTCCTTTATTGAAGAAGGCATGAAAAACAGGACTGATTTTCTTACCATTGTGACAGCTCACAAGAATCTTTCAAAATTCTTCCAGGCCTAAGAGGCTACAAACCCTGAAAACAACAACAACTAAGGGGAAAAGCCAAGAGTCAGGTGGCGCGTGGGCAGGAGATACCACCGGAAACGAGGCAGGCAGATCCTCGAGGAAGATTGCTGGGCTGAAATTTTACCACAATTTGGCCTCAAGCAGAGAAATGAGAGCTTCCAATATGCAAGGCGCCCTTCTGGTTGCTGCTGGCGACACAGAAATGAAGAAACACCCGCAAGAGAGGGGAGAGGAATTATGCCGCAGTGTCAGACACAGATCTGACAGTCACTTTCATGTGCATTTCCTCATAGCCAGCCCCTGAGCTAAGTATTGTTTTCCCTATTTTACAGAGAGGAACCTCAAGCAGTGATTAAAAAAAAAAAAAGAGTGTGATGTGTTTGCACATGCTCTTCCTGTCCCTCTCTGGAATTTAGACGGAAATGGGTAAATACATAGAGAAACTGGGGTATGTTCATGAAAACTGATGTTTCAATAAATCTAAAGACGGTAACATGAGAAAATGAAAGAAGCTCTCCGGTGTCTGCAGCCTCGCCATCTTCTCACACACATGCGTCTCCTCAAAAGCACCCTTGCTCTGCAGCTGAACCAGAGGCTGCGTGACCTTCTCCCCTGCAGAGAGCAAGGCAGCTGCAGAGCACCACTGCGAGGCTTCCACCAGGCACAGGTTAAGAACGTGTGACACTCTTTTGTAAACAGTGGAGAAGTCACAGAAGGTTTCTGGACAGAAGAGGAATTTGATTGGATATGGTGCTTATAGGGGACCTGGACTGGGAAGACAAAGCTCAGGTTTGAAAAGGTGGTGGGAAGGTGTGGAGCAGTCAAGATGAGAGGTAACAAAGAGAGGTGCTGAAAGTGGAAAGAGAAACAGGGCCCTAGCTTTAGACAGCCCACAGGGTGAATCCAGGTAGATGTGGTCACGTGGTAGGGTACCATTATCCCTATGCATCATTTAGCAAGACTCTCCTAGAGATGATGGCTTCAAGCCAAAGGGCTATTACAGTGAGAAGTGTACCCCAGTAAGTAGCTGGGGATGGGCATCTTTCTGGGAAGGAAGACACTAGAGCCTCTCAAATCCTGGCAAAGCGTCTGCTGCTTTCCTTAGCTGCCCCTCACCAGAGAGCACCTTTCTCAACCACATCAACCAGATGAGAAATGAAAAGAGAGGGACTTTTTTTTGTTCTGTTCCATCATTGGTGTCCTTGTCTCTTCCCCTTGTGCCCATGTTCTAACCCGGAAGTGTTGTTCCACCAAATCCACCTTGCTGGTCCCCTGAAAAGCAGGCAGAATCCTGTCTTGCTCCTGAGAGACTATTAGAAAAGCATTTTGATGATTACCTTTTGTTAATGTGAAGAATAGATTTTTAAATTGTCAGTTCTATTACCTAGCCCTATCCCTGGGCTTCCTGCAGAGCTGACCCCATGCCCTGCTTTCTCCATCTATCACGAACATAAAAACTCTTTAAAGATCCATTTCCTCCTCCTGCACCCCCCATTATTATTACCTTCGTTTTAGCTGTCAAGAGACCTTGCTAAGAAAAGAATGCTATAATTCAGCATTAGCTTACCAGAAAACAGTGGTGGGAGTTGAAATCACAAGCAGGCAGAGAATAAAGTAGAATCAAAATTCATCATGAAGCCATTTTCACCTCCCATTCTCCACTCTGACCGAGACAATAACCCTTGTTTGTGAGGAGCATAAAGATTTGCTCCTGTATATCCTAGGAAGAACATTGTGATGGTTGGCCCCTGTTATTCTTTATAACTGTTAGGATTCTCACTCCTCCCCTGGAAAGGAGCCATATATTTTAGAAATGCTCTGATCTCTTATCCACAATAAGCAGGGGGGAAAATGTATAATTTAGCTTACTTTCAGCAGACGATGTTTGGACTGGATTCCCAAAGCAGATGACGTGGGTAATTGGCAACTCTCTGCCACTAAGGACCATGACAAATGTTGCAGAAGGGCCTTGGCCAGTGCTTCCACAAGAAGTCCCTTGGAAGCCCTCAGGTGCCTACCTGTGCCCTGATTGGGGGGATGGGGAAAACAGCTTTTGGAGGAGGCTGACGGGCTTTGGGCACCTAGCGATTGGATGACAGCAGTTTAAAAGGTAAGAGAGCTAACTCTACAAATGTGGCCAAGTCATCTTAATTAAGACCAGAATCACTTTATTAAAAAGAAATGGCATTTGACTTCAGATATCCAATCTAAGTTGCCACCAGGAATTGGAAAGGATGGTGGGCACTGGCTGACTATACAGCAAAAGGCATGTGGGATTTTTCAGTTGCTCTTTCTTTTTTTTGAGATGGAGTTTTGTTCTGTTGCCCAGGCTGGAGGGCAGTAGCGCAACCTCAGCTCACTGCACTCCCAGGCTCAAGGGCTTCTTCTACCTCAGCCTCTCAAGCAGCTGGGATTACAGGCTACACTACCACACCCAGCTAATTTTCATATGTTTAGTAAAGATGGGATTTTGCCATGTTGGCCAAACAGGTCTTGAACTCCTGACCTCAAGTGATCTGCTTACTTTGGCCTCCCAAAGTGCTGGGATTACAGGCATGAGCCACAGCGCCCGGCCTATTTGCCTTTTCTGAAGCTAGTCTCAGATTAAAAGGCAAGTGGCTGCCTGGGGATAGGGGTGGTGGTCTGCTGAGAACTACTGACTCTGGGATTTGGCTTAGATACTGCACAAACCCCCATGAGCCTTTTACCAGGAGCCATCCCTCTTGGTTTCCAACCCTGCAGAGTCCCTTAAGCTCTTCTTCCCCATACTGAGACACTCATGTCTACCCTTTCCCTCCCTGCACACTTAAAAACCTCCAATGTTTTCCCACTGGACTTAGATTAAAAACCAAACTTTTAGTTAAGGCTGCAGGGTTCCCAGCTAGCTCCTGCCCCACACTCAAAACTCACATCTATCCAGTCCTCTTTGTTCACAGAGAGGGTTCAGCAACTCTGGACTTCTTTCTGTGAACACAAAGGACTTGCTCCTGCTTGGGACCTTTGCATTTATTTATAGCTCTCTCCTCCTGGATGGCTCTTCGCTTAGAGCACGGCTGATTCCTTCCTATAATTCTGCTCGGATGTTACCTGTTCATGAAGCTTTTCTGACCCACCCTATGTCAATATCCCTTGCTCCTTCTGTAACTTTCTAACCACTACTCTGCTGTTTTTCTTTGTCATCCACCCCCAATGTTATTATATATCTTTTTATTATTCTGTTTCTCCACACTAGAATATAAACTCCTTGAGATCAGGGTCCTTGCCTGTCTTGGCCACTACTAAATCCCGAACACTGATAAAAAGTGCTCAATCGATATTTTAGAATGAATGAATGACTCAGTCAATCAGTCAGTCAGTCTGTTAGGAGAAGAATCACTGCCACATGTAATTGAAAATCCAGAAGCAAGTCTTTAAAAATCTTGCAGCAATCAAGCAAGTCCATGTGATGCCAGTCTGGTTATACTGTGGAGAGAATTCTGCATGCATTTGGATGGGAGCCACCAATGAAGCTCCAGCCAGCCCTGTGCTCCTAGCTGGCACTCGACAAAAGTAATTTGTAGGAAGTCACTTTATAGCCAAAATCAGAGTTCTAGTTTTTGCTCCCCAGAGCCACTGACATGCACTTATGGGTATTTTTACCCAGAGATGCATCCCACAGCCAGTCCATTAATATCTTACATAAACTAGCAGCAAGGAGCGGCAGGTGAAAGTCTTTAAAATATTGTCTCAAGCAGTAATTGTTATTGTGCACAGGCAGTAATCTCAAAGCCAGTGTGATGCCTCTACTTGAGAAGAGGGGTCTACCATAAAAAAAGACACTGGAATTGAACCCTCCTTCTGAAGTCCACTTACCTACCCTTTCTTCTTACACATCTATTTAAATGTCATGGGTGGCCACATGCACAACCAGGAAACATAAAAATAAGGCAATTTTTCCAGTTACCATGCTCACTGGAGCATATTTGGCTTCATCTTGCGTCATTGATCTGGAAAGGAAAGTAGAATGAGATGAAACCAATGGGGCCAAACACATTGAGGTTGGATCCCTTTAGAACCATTTTAAAATAAATAAATGTCAGTGCTTTGTAGAAAGAAGAAGGTATGGGCAGGCTGAACTCTCTCCTCTAGAAGTTACTTTCCCTAGAAATTACAGGTAATAACTCTGTGGAGTGAGCTGTGCACAAAACTTTGAATGTTCCCTCAATATGAGGACTGTGACACATGGAATCATTCGGCTATATCTGCAGGTTTGGAGCTGGCTACGTGCTGCAAGAGGAAGACTTTGGGAAGGGAAACCAGGCGACAGCTCCAGGACTCCAGATGCCTCCAGGGCTCTGATGGGCTTGGAGCCTCTAGATCCCGGCCACTGCTTTCAGCATGACAGTGGTGTCAAGGCAGTTCCATAAAAAGCATTAAAATCGTAAGGTGTAATACATTAAAGCCAATCTCTCTCAAATCTAAGAAACACAAAACATTTACAAAGCCACCCCCACTGAGAATAGCAGCCTTGTCATTTACTCACCTTCACCACCACTCAACCAATATTTAAGCACATACCTCATGCAAGCCATCATGTTTCATGCTAGATAACCAATAGTAAGCAAAATAGACAAGTTCCCTGCCTCTTCTAGAGCTTTCATTCAAATGTAAGACTATCTTTTCTTTCTTTTTAGGACAGTTTTATGGAGATATAATTCACATACCACATAACTCATGCATTGAAAATACACAATTCAAGGCTTTGCATATTTTCATAAAGTTGTTCAACCATCACTATAATCAATTCTAGAATATTTTCATTATCCTAAAAGGTAACGCAAGGTTTTAAGGAACTAATCATTTGGTCAGTTATTGAGTTGCAATCATGATTATTCCTTCTACTTCCCTGAAAGAATAAAGCATGTAATATGAGGAGGCCTCTGGTTTGGGGGTTTCGATAAGTCTCTCGGCAAAGTGACATTTGCGCTGAGAGCTGATGGGGGAGTAGGAGAAAGCCAGGCAAAAGGAAAGAAGTGAGCAGGAGGAAGCAGAAAACACCACTGTGAATTAGGCTTTGTGGTGGATCTGCGGAACTGAGAAAAGGATGTTGACTTTTATTTTAGAATAATGGATTTTCCATTGTTTTAAGAGTTTTAAGTCTTCCTGTCTACTCCCATCCTCCATGCACATATTTTCATTTCAAAAAAAATCTCCTGCTGATGATGAGAGAACAGATTGGAGGGAGGCAAGCATGAAAGCAGGAATATCAGTCAGGAGCCGTCACAGAAATCCAGTGAGGAGATGAGAGTGGCCTAGATCAGGACAGGAAATGGGGGCAGTGAGTTCATTCAGGATTTATTAGGAACAGAACTGAAAGACTTTCACAATTGATTGACTTGGAGGAGTGCTGACTTCTACATTTGATGCCTCCACTCCTGGGTATGTGGGTTACAGATGGAAAACTGGAAGAAAACTAAGAATTTTTGAATTGGGAGAGAGATCATCAGGGTTTGTGACAAAACAATCAATGGGTTCGCTGTCCAACACACAGAGGCCAATATTGTGGCAGTGGCTTTTCAGAAAAGAAAAGTTTTATTGCCAGTCAGCCAGCAAGGAGACAGGAGGAAATGCTCAAATCTGTCTCCCCAAGCTAAGGTTTTAGTTGGGTTTCATAACCATAGATTAATTAGGTGTGAGGTGTGATCTGATTAGATCTTGCAATGAAGTGGTGTTGGGAAGAATGATCTGACTGACTGACGTGGGGTGACTAGAGTACGATCTGATTGAATCCTAGATCCTGCTTGGTGGTGTCTGCTTCTTAAATCAGTCCCCACTCCTTCAACCAAGCACTTAGGTTCCCCCTTTGGCTGCACACTTGGTTCATCTGGGCATGCTCAGGTTATATGACCTCAACCTGGAGATCCATGGCAAATGAAAAACAACTTTGTTACCAAAAGCCAAGCCAGATTGATCTGGTGTGGCTCAACACTGGATGTATTGACTAAGCTTTCAGGTAGGTAGTTGAATATGATGCTGAGGTCAGGTGAGATCTGAGCTGGAGAAATAAATGTAGGAGTCATTGATGTCCTGCACGTAGGTGAGGCCACCCAGGGAGAGACGACACAGCAGAGAAGGGGCCTCAGGCCAAGCCAAGGGAAGCACCAACATTGCAATAGTAAATAGAAGAGGATATCCTGGTAAAGAGGCTAAGGAAGAGCTGCCGGGGAGGGGGAGGTCAACCAGGAGCATGCGATGAGCTGGAGCCAAGGGGAGTTGGTATTTTAAGTGGGGAGAGGCTATTTGTTTAAAAGCTGCTGAGAGATGAAGGCTAAGAGAATGTCCTTTGAACTTGGTGACATGAAAATTATTGATTCCCTTAGCAAGAGTCATTTCAGTGACAGAGCAGTTGGTGGAAGAATGGAAAGAACATACGCAGACAACGCTTCAGAGAAATGTGGCTTCACATGGAGGATAAAGATGGCCGAGATGGAGGGCCATGTGGAGTGAGGGAGGAAGGGTTATTTTAAGACGCGGGTGATATAAGCAAACAGTAATGCTAATAGAAAGGATCCAGTGAAGAGCAGGAAAGAAAGATGACTGTTGGGTAAGGTGCTTGAGATGGGAGAGTGGAGCTGAGACCCCAGCACAGCCACAGGGGCTGGCGTTAGTTGGAAGGGAAACCTGCTTCTGCCTGGTAGGTTCTAAAGCAACAAACCTTGGTTTCACTACAGCCGGCAATGAACCCAGGCCATGCTGGAGGCAGGGATATTCTCCAGAAGCCCCACTGAACATCATTTGCTACTCACCTACTCGCCATGCCCCTGGAGTGCGAGGAAAGGTCTTCTGTTTGCCCCTCACAAAACACAACTCCCTCTCTCTCGCATTAAACACATGTCTTGGTGACAAGACATCAGAGACATCCAGGAACCTCATGGATAGAGAACCTATATCTACCTCCTGCCTCACACAGCTGAAACATCAATTTATACTTCACACATCAGAATACCCTTTCTCGATGCCCCCTGCTCCTCAGAGTTCAGATCCTCTATCCTTCATCTCCTTGAGATAGAAATAAGTGCCCACATCCCATGGCGTGTCAGAAGTATCACATCCCTCCCGAGAGGTAATGTCATCCCAGGACATCATTTCTTCAGGTGCAGTAAGACCGGCCTTGAAAGGGATTGTGGCAACAGAAGAGAGTGGCTGCCACCTGACTCCCTGCCCTACTTCTGGTTCACGGGGTTCATGAAGCCTCAAGCCTGAGCTGTGAGGGGGGCTGCTCCCCATCACTTCCATATGGTGCATCCTACTATATGCACTGGCCACTGAAGTCAAGTGCATCGGCCTTCTGTGCAGCTTCACCATGGTCAGGCAGGGGTGAGGACTGAGCTGGGCACTGGACCACAGGTTCAGGAGGAAGGGAACCACCTGGCCCCAGAGCAGAAACCCAGTAGTTGTGAGGACACAGGCAATGACTCCTGTGAAGGGTCCTTGAACAGGGAACTAATGTTGTGAATTATTATAACTATTATTTTCTAATGCTTATTTCTGCATTTTTCTTTTTTAAAAAAGTTATCGTGGGTACATAGTAGGTATAATATTTATGGAGTATGTGAGATAATAGTGAGCACCTGTAGTCCCACTACTGGGGTGGTTGAGGCAGGAGGATGACCTGAGCCCAGGAAGTCAAGGCTGCAGTGAGCCATGATCGTGCCATTGCACTCCAGCCTGGATGACAGATGAGACCATTTTTTGAATCTTTTAACAGACCTTGCATTGTGGTACATGTGGGAGCCCATGTTGGGGTGAAGAAGAATGACCACACGGGCCTTGGGCTGACCTCAGCGCTCCCACACATGAACCTCCCAATGTTAATAATCCTCCCAATGTTAATAATTCACTTGATTGGTACAAAAATATAGTTAGAGAGAATGAATAAGACCTGTTATTATTTTGAGACTGAGTTTCACTCTTGTCACCCAGGCTGGAGTGCAATGGTGAGATCTCTGCTCACTATAACCTCTGCCTCCTGGGTTCAAGCAATTATCTTGCCTCAGCCTCCTAAGTGCTGGGATTACAGGCATGTGCCACCATGCCCAGCTAATTTTTGTATTTTAAGTAGAAATGGGGTCTCACCATGTTGGCCAGGCTGGTTTTGAACTCCTGAGCTCAGGTGGTCTGCTTACCTTGGCCTCCCAAAACACTGGGATTACAGGCATGAGCCACCCACGCCTGGTCTATTACTGTTTAAGCAATTTTCCTGCCTCAGCATCCCAAGTAGCTGGGATTACAGACGCACACCACCCAGCTAGTTTTTGTATTTTTAATAGAGACTAAAAATAGAGACGGGGTTTCACCATGTTGGCCAAGCTGGTCTTAAACTCCTGTCCTCAGGTGGTCTGCCCTCCTTGGCCTCCCAAAGTGCTGGAATTACAGGCATAAACCACCATGACTGGCCCAGGAACTCAATTTTTAAGTTTTTTTCCTGGGGTTCCCTTGGCCAAGAGAGAATTTGTTCCATCAGTAAGGCACTTAGAATTTTAGTTTTAGTTGACAAATCCCAGTAAACTTTCATGGGACAATGTATTTAATCAAAGAGCTGAGACTAAACTCTATCAAGGATCTACGGGGCTAAGCCAAGGAAGAAGGAATTGTGCTGGGATCATCCTCCACCTCCACAGCAGAGAAAATTAATGGCACAGTCCTTGATGCATTTGAGAGAGCCACTTAGCTAACTGCTGATTCTGCTAGTTCAGGTTATTTACTTACCCGTTCAACAGAAGTTGAAAAATCACCTGTATTATTAATTTGCGTAAAACCTTCTACCTTCAGAATATGATTCAAGCTATTTTTACAAAGAAAAGTTGGAATTCTAAGCTTCTTGCTTACAAATTACTAAAGTCATTCATCAGCTGTGCACATAAACGCCAGGCTTACAATTTCTTTAACCTTCCATTTTTCAGATGAGATAAACATGCACAGGTTTGCTGAATTGCTCTAATTCTGATTGCACACTCAGATACAAAAATACCAAAAATCTTTTAGATCCTTCCCTATTTTCAAACAGATAATTCTATCTTCCTTTGGGCAAATCCACATTCATAATACATAGACGTTGTCTAGTCTCTTTTGTTTTTTTTGTTTTTTTATCAATTAAGCATTTATTTAGCCTCTACCACATGTTTAGCTCTGTAGTGGGCACTGGGTGAAGACACTCAACCTATTTAGCCTTTATTGAATGCTGGGCCTCGGAAGCTTCTACTTCAGCTAAAGAAAGCAGCAACCTTTTGAAATCATTAAATCACCAGGTCTGTGGTCTATAATTGAATGGAATTACATGGAATCCCTGGGCATTCAAAGATAAAACCCAGTAGAACCTCTAGAGTTCTGGAAGACAAGAGGAAACAAGAAAGGAAGGACTGAATAAGACATGAAGGAGAAGTACATTTCAGACAAGGGCACTCACCCCCAGTCTGTGTGTTTGTTTTGAAGACTGTGAATAGCTGGGACTGACTCACAGAGGCAGACAGTAGGGAGCCATTGAAGGTTTATAAGTGAGATGAGTACAGATATTCCATTCTGCTGCAGTGGATAGGTTTTCCTGACAGAATCCTGACTCAATTGTCAATGACAGCTGTTCTAGTGGGCAGCTCCCTCATGTAGGGAACACATAGCAAGACTTGAGTCCTACAAATGGATGGGCAGAGGGCATAGTATTTGGCAGTGGGATAGATCCCCTTAGCGACAGAAATTGACCTGCTCATCCCCTGCCAGTGGAGGAACCCAGGAACAAAGGAACCTGCAAGGATATTCGGAATATGGGAGAAAAAGGGAAGGGGCACATTCATTCCCGACAGTGTCAATGTGAGCAGTCCCACTATTTGATCACGAGTTCCTTCAAGGATTCTAGACTCACCAGGATAACATCGTTCTCTTCTAAGGAAGCAAGAAAAACATCACGACAATCCAGTCTAGGCCACGGTTCTTTTTAGCAGGGGTGGGGAGGGTGGGGACAGGGAGGTGAACTCTAAGGTGAAAATAAAGGATATCCTCCCCCATGCAAGATGTGCTCCTCCAGGCGCAGGTCTGAGTTGTTAGGGACTGAACCTCTGGATTCAAAAGAATCATCACACATGAGTACAACCCTAGAAATGCCAGAGCCTGCCTGCAGTCTGTGCTGCCCACCTCCCCTGACCCCTCTGCAGTGCCCCTCAGGGGTTTCACTCAATGTGGGTCCTCACCAGGATCGGGGCAGGGCACAGCTAGAAGCCCCGGTCCCTCCTCCTGATCATGGCATATAAACTGCATGGTTTCAACCAAATCCAGATTTTTCTTTAGCAACCATGGATCTTAAAAGGTGTTGAGTACTGGACAGGAAGAGATGTTTATAAGATTTTCTGTCTTTGTCAATCAAAGGTACAATGCCCATGGGAAGAAATGACCCAAGAGGAGAGCCATTCTGAACTGGGCTCAGGAACTCCGTTAAGGATGGGGAGGAAGGAGCAGAAGCAGAGGCAGAGAAATAGGAAAAAGTTTCCTTTCTCAGAACAGGTGGGCTCTCGGATGTGGTGGCTCATGCCTGTAATGCCAGCACTTTGAGAAGCTGAGGTGGGTGGATCACCCGAACTCAGGAGTTTGGGACCAGCCTGGCCAACATGGTGAAACCCCATCTCTACTAAAAATACAAAAATTAGCAGGGCACAGTGGCACACGCCAGTAGTCCCAGCTACTTGGGAGGCTGAGGCACGAGAATCACTTCGACCCGGGAGGCAGAGGTTGCAGTGAGCCGAGATTCTGAGGTTGCAGCCTGAGAGACAGAGCGAGATTCTGTCTCCCCCCCACAAAAAAAAAAGAAAAACAGGGGGACTCTCCCTCCACTGAGGACACTATTTCAGACTTGCTTTTTCTTAGCCATTGTTGTTGTCAACTAAAGACAAAAATCAAGCTTTTAAAGAATTCAAGTTATTTGTATTCAGAAGTCTTCATGAGGACAGTAGACTGTGACCTAGGGGCTGGGAGCAGACAGGTCAGATTGCTCCAAAGCAGTTTCAGCCCACAGCTTATATGCAGATGTCGGGGGTTGAGTATGTGCAAAATCATGTCAAAATTTGGATGTGAGAGATCTGGCTCTAGATGACTAAAGTACCTTTGGGTAAGAGATTGTAGCAGCATCATCACCAACCCTCTCCTATGCTGTCTTATGTTTAGGCAAAGGCAAGGGATCAGGTCATTTATCTTTACAAGGATGTAGTGACTCAGGGAGAGACGTGGGTGACCCAGGGCTCTGTCCTGCTTTGTCCTCAAGGCATTGTTCTGGAGGGCTGCATTTCATCACAGTGAGGGGCTCAAGCAGATATGAGCAAACATGGCTTTTTATGTTTGCTATCTTGCCTCACAATTGTCATTAAAGAAAAGAATATAGAAGTTAAAACATAAACCAAAGGGAGCTGGTTAAAAAGGTGAGCAGATTAGGGTAGGGAGTTGAGAGCCCAGATCTGGAATCCTGCAGACCTTGGCTCCAACCCTCGCCCTGACACACTGGCCTGGCACAGGCCTGTCTAACCTCTCAGCTTCTCAGCCTTGCCGTTTCTCAAACAGAAGCAGCAACAGTCCCTTCCTCACAGAAAAGGTATCAGGGCTAAATGAACTCAATCGCGAAAAGAATTTAGCAAAGATGGGGCCAAAAGTCCTGACAGATACTGGGACAGGTGTCCTGGGCAGTGGATGGCTGGGCTCTGAGCAGGGTCCTGTGGACACTTGGGCAGGTGTCCTGGGAAGTGGTTGGCCAGGCTCTAGGCAGGGTCTGACCAACACTGCGGGTGAGTTCCGAGCAGTCAGTTACCGGGCTCTGGAAAGAGTCTCATGGGACCCGTCTGGCTCCCTGGCTTTTCAGTTTCCTCCTGGTGCCACAGGCATCCATTCCTCTGAACTGAAAGCTGAGTCCTAAACCACATTCCCTCTTTGTCCCATTTGTGGCTTTCAACGACAGAGAGTGAGACAGGAGGGCGTCTCTATTCCCTGCTGGGGAACTTTCTCCTGGTTCGAGCCAGGTATCAAGTTGGTGGTTACTGAGAAACAAGGCCACCAGGTCCTGGCAGTGGGAACAGAAAGGAGAGGTCAGATTCCGAAGACAGTAGGACTTGGCAATTGATGAAGAAGAATATAAATATGACTGCAGGTTCTGGCATAATGAGAGGTCATAGAGAAGAGACCTTGAATCCAGAACGGAGAACAGTCCATGTTGGGAGGGAATAGCAAGTTCTACAAAATTTGGATAAGAGGTTTGATGAAAGATAGTAGGGCAGGTAAGTGGAAGTTTCCAGTGGTTAAATAGCAATACAGGATTCATATCTATTGTATCTATATGTATGTATCTACACATCAAGGTGTGTGTATAGGAGTTATCAGCGTAGAGGTGAAATTTAAGGCAAGAGAATGAGAAGCTCTTTGAAAGACAGACACAGGGGAGTGAAACACTTAAAGGAAAGGGGATGCAGTTACAGAAATGTAAGACAAACTGATAAAAGGGTAGAGTTGGAGGAGAACTTTGCAGAAATCTAGCCCGATTCACTCACTTAAAGGATAAGGAGACTGAGGCTCAAAGAGCATCAGTGATTTGCCAAATGGTCGACCACATCCAGAAAATGGGAGATGTGGGGCCTGAATCTGTATTCTCAGACTCAGTTTCTGTCCTTTCCCACTGGAGACCTGGACATCGCTGCTTGCAAGTGAATGTTAATTAATATTGATCACCAGGATGAAACTGATGATCATGAACCTCTAAATTGGTGTAAACTTATGAGTCAAGAAATTGTGAATACTAAAAATGCGAATACACTTTGTCCTTTCACATAGGTCAATACACACACGCGCGCACACACACACACACACGCAAAACCAGAAAGAAATCTTAAAATTAAACAGAATCTCATTAATTGAGGGCAGATTGATGATTTCAATGGCTGGAGAATCATTCCACCTTTTTTTTATAACTTGGAAAAGGAAGTTGCTGGAAAAAATCAGATTCAAAGCATTTCTTTTCTGCCTGGATTCATCCTGCAGTTTTTCAACCAGTCTTGCAGGAAGTTGTCCAGAAGGGAAACGATTTTGCTGCAAAACTTCTAGGTCATGAGCTGTGCTTTCATAATTTGCAATGTCTCTATCAAAAAACAATTGAATTTGAAGAACCAGAAACACATGTTGCATAAAAGGTTTCTGATTACAGCCCTCACTTGCAGGCTCAGAAAACAAACCCTTCTCTAAATGATGCCAACCTCTCTAAACCCATCGTCCTTACTGGTGTCTCAGCTGGCATTTGAACCAAAATTGCCACTTAAACCTGCCCCTTTAGTTCACTGTACTGATTGCAATAAGATGGGACCATTAATTATCTACCTCGCATTGTGTTTCTCCTCCACCATGGTAGGGCGGGCAATTGATTCATGTTATTGAGTTTCTTCACTTTCATTTTATTGTGGGATCTCAAAGGGAATGAAATATACTCATGCTGGAAACGTCCGTGTATATTTGGTAGCTCTCAGTGCTTTCCACAAGATGCAACTGGGGCTCGCTTTTAGTGTCCGATATGTCTCAAGTAATCTGTTTTCAAGAAAGAATTAAGTCAGAATAAATACACTTCTCTCACAGCTGCAAGGTTGCCGGCCCCCTCATTTAGGGAAGCTGCTCCTCATTGCTCCCATTCTGCTGTCCATGAGATACTGTACCAGTCACAGAGGAGCCAAGGCTATTGTAAAAGGGGGCACAGGCCTGGTGACAGCGGGTCCCCACAGCCCTACCCCAAGTTTTTCAGCTCTGGAAAAACAGATGAGCCTGTTTCTTCATGAAGCACCTTCGAAGCAGTCATGTTACAAGTTTGAGAATTTTCTAATGTTGCTATGTATCATTTTAATTTAAAATTTAAAATGTCTTCTACATCTGTGATGACTTTCTCTTTTGAGTTCTAATTTTGTGACTTGGAATCTAACTGTTGAGTCATTTACTATTTGTGAGACCTTGGGCAAAATGCTTAAACCCCCGCCTCAGTTTCCTCATATGGAAAATGAGAATGATAGTTCTTACCTCATAAAGTAGAGGTAAGGCACTAAGCCCAGTGCCTAGCATATTAAGTGCTCAATAAATGTAAGCTATTATTAGTCTCCATCATTACTTAATTAGGCTGACTGGAGGTGTAGCTATCTGACAGTTTCTTCAAAAAACAGTTTATGGGGACTAAATTCTTAACAATGATGTCTACTTGAAAATTACTAAAGGAATAGATCTTAAATATTTTCACCATTTAAAAAAATGTGAGGTAATGGGTATGTTAATTAGCTTGATTCATTTCACAACATGTACGTGTATCAACATTCACATTGTACATCATAAATAGATATAATTTTGTCAATTATGCCTTAATAAAGCTGAGGGAATCCAGATCTTGGATTTATTCTATTTTCCTGTTCTTAAATTGCTTAATTTCTGTTTCACTTTATCATTTTCATTCTTGTGCTTATGTTTATTTTGCCATAATTTTTAAAGTTTTTTTAAAATTAACATTCAGTCAATTTACTTCCATTCTGTCTTAGCACTACATTTAAAGCTGTGAATTTTTTCTCTGAATATGGTTTTAGCCATCTTAAATATAGAAATTCGATCATAGTCTAGATATTCTAAAATTTTAATTTTGGTTTCAACTTAGAAAGGAATTTCAAAATTTCCAAAGCGTTGGGTTTTGTTTTTTTTCTATTTTGATTATTAAACTGTAGATTTTTTTTCTTTTGTTTGACATAAGAGAATGCAATCTGTACTATTTCTAATTTTGAAATGCATGGAGGCTTTCTTTGGCACCCAAGATATGATCAGTTTCGAGAAATATCTCAGGGCAGTAGAAGGTATGATCTGTTTGAATATGAAATTAAATGGAATTTTTGTTTGGATATGGAATTATTTATATATTAATATGTAACAATAATTACTAATTACATATTATTCTCATCCTCTATATCACCATTACATTCATGGATTTTATTTGTCATAGGTGTTAAAGTCTCTCTGATTATGTTTTTGTTTCTCTTTGAATTTGCAGGTCCTTTTATGTGTTTGTGTGTGTGTGTGTGTGTATACATATATATTTAATTAATTAGTTAATTTAAGAGACAGGGTCTCTCTCTCTCTATTACTCAAGCTAGAGTGCAGTGGTGCAATCATGGCTCACTGCTCCATCAAACTCCTTGGCTCAAGTGATCCTCCTGCCTCAACTTCCCTAGTTGCTGAAACTACAAGCTCAAGCCACTACACGTGCCCACTTCATGTATTTTGATACTTATAATATGACTGCTAGAACACATAGACCCTTGCCTCCCTACTCCCAAATAAATATGATAGTTATGCTTTCTGTTTCCTATTTTAGATCTAATGAAACAATTGTTGGAATTCTTTCCATCTAGATAACTGGGATAAGTTTTCTGCCTTCTGTTAAAACCCTGGCTCAACTGTCAATGAGAGCTGACTTTGTAGGCAGAGTGGGTGTGGAGAAAACAGAGACACCACACAGTTAGGAAGTTGGGCTGAAGCGCTGTGGCCATCTTCAATGCCATCACCTTGGTCATTGTCATTGCAACCTATGGGAAAGGGGAGGAACACAAAGGGCAAGCAGGGAGGTTTACGGGCCAGGCCCGGGGTGGCACTCACCTCCACTCACATTCCATTGAAATCCCAAGCGATTGCAGGGTGTATCTGAACAGCCATATGCTCATCTGTAATTCGGGGTCATGGAAAAAGAGAATAGGTTTTGGTGGACAGTTAGCAGTTTCTGCCAGAATGCTGTTTTGTTTTGTGTTGCAAAGCGATTTAGGCCACTTATAGTCTTGTCACAGATGCAACACTTTTTTACCTCTAATTCAATGCTGTCTGATATTAAAGGGGAGAATCCCAGTTATATTGGATCTGGAGACTGTCATTTCTCTCTCTCTCTTTTTTTTTTTATCTTGAGCTATATGGTCAATTTTCTGATGCACCCTTACCCCCGCCACCCTTCTGGTAATTTAAAATTACTTAAAAATTTAAAAAAAAAAAATTTTTTTTTGGAGGCAGAGTCTTGCTATGTTGCCCAGGCTGGCCTTGGACTCCTGGTCTCCAGTGATTCTCCCACTTCTTCCTCCCAAGTAGTTAGGAGTACAGGCACGTAACACTCCACCTGGTCACTTTTGTATTTTAAAGGATAAACTTTAAAAACTTTTAATATCTTAACTTTAAAAAAATGAAGTGATTATTGACTTCCTGCTGTGAAAGACAAGGAAATTAGCTCACTTACACTGGCCGCTCCGCCCCTATTGAGTTGCCAACAAGCTGTAGGATTTTTGTCCCAGCCCATTAGTTCTATTATTTTAAATTGTGAAACTTGTCTTTCATTCTGGCATTCTTCGCTGTAACTGTAGATCTCATTACTAATTTTAAATTTTAATGGAGTCATACTTCATAGTTGGGTTTTTGTTTGTTTTTTGAGACAGTGTCTCACTCTGTGGCCCAGGCTGGAGTGTAGTGGTGCTATCACAGCTCACTAAAGCCTTGAACTCCTGGGCTCAGGCAATCCTCTTGCCTCAGCCTCCCTAGTAGCTGGGACTACAGAGTTGCACCACCACACCCAGGTAATTGTTAAATATTTATTTTGTAGAGATGAAGTTTCACCACGTTGCCCAGGCTGGTCTCAAACTCCTGGGCTCAAGTGGTCCACCTGCCTTGGATTCCCAAAATGCTGAGATTATAGGCATGAGCCACCGTGCCTGGCCCATAACTAGTTCTTATGTTTTGTGTCTTCTTCGTTACTATACTCTCCACACTGATTCTCTTGGTTGACTGGATTTCATCAAATATTATTTTCAAGCGAGGTTTGCAGGTGCAGGTGTTATGATTCCTGAGTCCTTGCATATTTTAGGAATTCATTTGCCTTTATAACTGCTTGGGGAAAAAAATCTCAGATCACACTGTACAACATTGAACTGATATGGAGAAGTTGAGTGATAGATGGCTTTTTGGGTATAAACTTCTCCAAGCAAGTTCTCCCAAAATATGTTTCAATGTTGCTCATTCCATATTACATTTTTCTAAAATATGATGTGTTGTCTTGATCTGCAGATTCAGTTATTTAGGAAAAACATAATCATTTATTTGAATTTTTTTTTCTGTGCCAATCATAGCCTTCTCTACCTACCAGTTTTCTTTACATTGAATCATCCTTGTCTATTCTCCATCTTAATTTTTTTTTCCATCTAATCAAATATCCCCCAATCAGAGGCCTTCCAACACCCTAATCAGAGGCCTTCCAACACCCCAGGTAACCTAATAACCTTTGTCACTCTTTCCTCCTCATCCTACCTTATTTTTCTCCACAGCATTTATCATCAGTGCATGCCACCCATGTCCTCACGCCAGTGAAAACATAGCTCCACAAGGACAGGGGATTTGTTTTTTTTTGAGACGGAGTTTCACTCTTGTTGCCCAGGCTGCAGTGCAATGGCACGATTTTGGCTCACAGCAACCTCCGCCTCCCAGGTTCAAGTGATTCTCCTGCCTCAGCCTCTCAAATAGCTGGGATTACAGGCATGCACCACCACACCTGGCTAATTTTGTATTTTTAGTTGAGACAGGGTTTCTCCAGGTTGGTCAGGTTGGTCTTGAATTCCTGACCTCAGCTGATCCGCCTGCCTCGGCCTCCCAAAGTACTGCGATTACAAGCGTGAGCCACTGCGCCTGGCCTTTTTTTTTTTTTTTTTTGAGACAGAGTTTTGCTCTTGTTGTCCAGGCTGAAGTGCAATGGCGTGATTTCAGCTCACTGCAACCTCTGCCTCCTGGGTTCAAGTGATTCTCCTGCCTCAGCCTCCTGAGTAGCTGGGATTACAGGCATGCGCCACCACGCCTGGCTAATTTTGTATTTTTAGTCGAGACAGGATTTCTCCATGTTGGTCAGGCGGGTCTCGAACTCCCGACCTCAAGTGATCCGCCTGTCTTGACCTCCCAAAGTGCTCATTTTTTTAACCCTGTGCCAGAGCAGCATCAGGTGCATATAGATGATGCTCAATAAGCACTTGACTGAATTATCTCAAGGGTTCTGTGTGTCGGCAACTCAATTTTAAGCTGTGTGTACTTTGTTCTTTGCTGTTTCTAATTTATGAAACTTATTTTCTTAGCTCTAAGTTTCCTTTCTATTTTATTTTAATGTTTTATCTTTGACTTCTTTTTTCATTGATCCCTTTTCTCTTTAAATTCTTTTAAAATATAGGGTGTTTAATGTGAAGGATGTTCTATTTCCTGGAGTGAATTTTCTTTCAGAATGAGTTCTATATCTGTCCTTTTTCTGTAGTATTCTTTACATTGTTCACAGGCATAAGGCTGGAAGCAGTGGTTCACACCTAATCCCAGCATTTTGGGGGGCCAAGGTGGCGGATCACCTGAGACCAGGAATAAGAGACCAGCCTGGGCAACAGGGTGAGACCCAGTCTCTACAATAAACAAATAAACAGTTGATGGGCAGTTTCTTCGCATCTTTCTCATGGCTGCACAGCAGCCTTGTGGATTCCCAGTTACAATGTGGGTGGTCTTTGAAGCTCTCCCACCCAAACTGAACTCTTTGATATTCTCCAAGCTGCTACCAGCTAAGTCCCTTCCTCTTAGACAATAAGATACAAGTCAGGAATATGCAGTCCTTAGAAGACAGAGAACTCAAAGAGAAAAAGTACCAGCACAAGAACCAACCTGAGCAGAGGGGAAAAGGGCTGATGGACAGCCCTGCCCTAAGTTCCCCATTCCTGTGAGGAGGAAAGCCATCTGTTTTCCCCACTTTTCCTCCCTGGCTAGGAGGAGAGGAGAAACAACTTCTGGAAAGATAGGCATGAAGGAGGTGGGATTAACCTGAGGTTAAGCATTTCCATCACAAGTGAAAAAGTTTACCTGGTTTGGTGGAACCACCAACATGGAAGACGCTGTCCTCGGAAACAGGATATGCCCCCGATTAGGCAGAGTGAATTCTGTCCAGTTTTAAACAACATTACAGAAGAAAATAAGAAGGGGGTCAGTTAACTCAAATCACCACTCCTCATAAGCCCCACCCTCTCAGGTAACAGGACCCAGGTCAGGACCAGCTCCCAGACCACCTGCCATTGGAGACAGTGAGTTCTGGGGAGGCTTGCATCTCAACTGCCTCCCTCCCAGAGTGAGAATGCCACTCCCAACAGCTTTCCCTTCCTTGGCAAGCAGGACTGAGACAGTCATGAGGTCAGTGCACTGCACTAGGGAGCCAGTGAGAATGCAGATGGGGGCCAAAATCCAGTTTACTCTGAGCCATGTGTCCTGGTGTGGGGTCACATCTGCTCAGAGAAAGGACCTTTCTCTGTACAAAGGTGCCACTCACTCACACACAGGGCTGCGTGTGGGCTGGCAGTAGCCCTGCTGAATAATGCCTGGTTTGGTGGCATTACATGATCGGGGAGGAGCTCACACCTTGGAGAAACACTTTTGGATATCTCCCATAGGCGCTGACTTAACAGGCATTTGATTCCCTCCAAATGCATTTGGCTTTTCACAAATTACTAACCTTGTCCTCGCCCATGCACAGCTTCTAGGAAGCCAGTATAGGAGCCAAATTCCAATTCTAGTAGGTCTTTTGTCTGCTGCTGTTCAGAGTTTATAGTGTGAGGCTGTACTACCCGTTTCCTTTGAATGCTGCCAGTATGGTTCTGCTGGTCCATTTTGCCTCATTTTTCATTCATGTTTTTAGTTTCTGAAATGGGCAACTTTTACTACACGGCTGCATACTACTATATGCTACTTCCAACCTGTCCTTGATGTGGTCTCTCTGTGCTGTTATAACTGTTTTCACATTGTGAAGTGTGAATATGCACTTTCATGTGCCACCTATTTAATATGCATGCTCATAAAGGCTTAAAGCACATCTGAATCTATTTTTTTTGAGACAGGGTCTTGCTCTTTCACCCAGGTTAGAGTGCAGTGGTGTGATCCTAGCTCACTACAGCCTCCATCTCCTGGGCTCAAGCAATACTCCTGCCTCAGCTTCCTGAGTGGCTGGAACTACAGGCGTGAGCCACTATACCTGGCCCTGAATTTACTGTTTAACAGTTTTGATGAAAAGCTAAATGTATTCAAGTGTTCAGTAAATGTCATTTGGTGTTAATAAGTCACCAGAGGCTTGTAACATATTGAAGATGACATCAAGATGATCCCACATTCTGATTATTTTGATAATTTGAGTTCTGGGATACAAGTGCAGGATGTGCAGGTTCGTTACATAGGTAAATGTGTGCCGTTGGCTGCACCTATCAACCCCTCACCTAGGTATTAAGCACCACATGCATCAGCTATTTATCCTGATGCTCCCTCCTTCCCACTCTCCACAACAGGCCCCAGTATGTGGTGTTCCCCTCCCTGTGTCCATGTGTTCTCATTGTTTAGCTCCCACTTATAAGTGAGAACATGCAGATTTGCTTTTCCGTTCCTGTGTTAGTTTGCTGAGGATAATGGCTTCAAGCTCCATCCATGTCCCTGCAAAGGACATGATTTCACTCCTTTTTATGGCTGCACAGTATTCTGTGATGTATATGTACCACGTTTTCTTTATCAGTCAATCACTGATGGGCATTTGGGTTGATGCCATGTCTTTGGTATTGTGAATAGTACTGCAATGAATATACACATGCATGTATCTTTATAGTAGAATAATTTATATTCCTTTGGGTACATACCCAGTAATGGGATTTCTGGGTCAAATGGTATTTCTGGTTCTAGGTCTTTGAACAATCACCACATTGTCTTCCACAATGGTTATCTCATTGTGGTTTTGATTTGCATTTCTCTAATGATCCGTGATGTTGAACGGTTTTCATGTTTTTGGCCACATAAATGTCTTCTTTTGAGAAATGTCTGTGTATGTCCTTTACCCCCCTTTAATGAGATTGTTTTTTCTTGTAAATTTAAG